AAAGAAAAGATAAAATCAGATCCAGAGCGAAAGAAGATATTCTTTTTTTATCTGCTTCTCCATTTATGCTTTTTTATATTTTTGAAAATAAGATTCCTTTAAGGAACATGTTTATTCATTCTGTATATAATTACTAGATGTCTACAATTATCAAGAGTAGTACTATGAATACTGATTTGGCTTATGTTGAAAATTATGGTGATCTTGATATTAACTTATTCATTAGACCCAGAAAACCAGTGATAGGTATATGTAAAGTCATCTCTGAATTAAATACAGGATGAATTATGTAGAAATAAATAATGTTGCATCAAAATTATCTGACTTCTTTGTTGGATTATTTTGGATAAAGAAAAATCGTTCTTTTTAAGTTTGTGAAAAGATCATTCTTTTTCTTATGCTCACCAAATACATTTTGTCTTTTCATAATGAAGAAATTATTGGATGATCTTGGTTAATCTTCAGTAATGTTTTTAATTGACTAGAGTCGTTCTGTCTGTTTACCAGCAAGAGAATAATTTGCTAGCATGAACTATCTGTAAGCCTAGATTATATTCCCAAGTTAATTCTTGTGATGCATAAACATTTGTTTTGACATGGTTATCCTCTGTCTTTATTACATTATCCTTTGGTCCCAGGTTTTTCTCTTTGCTAGACTCCCACACTTTCTTTTTTTTTTAACTTATTTGAACTATGGGTTGCATTCTAAGATAGAATGAAAGCTGTTTTGTGGTCATTATATTCTGGTATCCATGTGTGTTGAAAGGCCATTAGGACTCATAATTAAATTTAACAACTTTAGTTACCTTTGCAGATTTCAGAAAGAAATTCAATACCATCAGCAGAAAGGCAGTTGAAAATACTGAAAACATATAACAAGATATTATATCTGCATAAGGCTAAGCAAAAATTGCACTCCAATACAATAGCAAAATCAATTACACTAGATGGTAACACTAACTTGTTTAACATATTCTCTGGCTTTTCTGTCTCCATGTGGGAGGCAAATAAGTCAAACAAGAAGGACGACAGTAGGCCATTGTGTATATGATGAAAGGCATATGTCCTTCAGATTAACACTTAAAAATGACATCATACTAAAGTACACAGCAGAAATCCTGCAGTGGAGGCTCATGTATGGGTTAAACTCGACTAGCTGAAAGATTGTTTCCTGTTTAGGATGGCATGTCATAATTTAGGAGATTTCCTGCGAGTTCTTTAAAGTTTATGTTGTATTCTTTATGGAGGACATTAATTCCTGACACCATAAAAGAGAATGCACTCGTGTTGAATTTAATGTACATTGAGGTATTTACCATTATTTGAATAATCATGTTATGGGACGTTTGTTGAAAAGGATGTTTCTGAAAGAAAATAAGATTTGATGAAATTGATATACATATATATAATTGTGCATTTTTCTTTTCCCTTTTGTTTAAGCTGGGGAGCAAAGCAAGAAGATCAATACAAGAAGAATATGGTTGACCTATTCCAACATCTGCGTTGTCTGCTGCCGGATGACACCCTCATGATATGGCTCACTACACTGCCGGTGTCCACAGAGAAAATCAGAGGGGGTGTTATGATCAAGCAGGTGAGGAGGCTGTGATTTCAAGTACTGTTTGATTATTCCGTATCATTCAGTTATTCAAAGTTTTATTGTGCAGATATTTTCAGTACTAATCTTTAATGATATTGATGTTAAAATGCAATAGAATGTACAAATTATAACAAGAAATCTTAACTAAGATGAAAGGAAAGATTTGTGCTCAAAACAGAACCAGAGGAAAGGGTTGTCTACACTTATACATTTCATGGCTTTTTTTTATTTACAGATCTTAGTCAACTAGTAATCATAATAAATGTCTTTTAACCTTATGTCTTGTGACAAGGTATAACTGATGATAACAAATACCTTTGTAGTGTAGATATAAATTATTTAGTAAAACACACTTCACATATTTGTATAATAATTTTGAAATGCCTATTGTACAGTGAACTGTGCTTTGCTGAATGAGAGCATTTATATACACGTTTTCAGATAGATAGATATGTCTGATACATTGTTAGTGTATATAAGCTTATGTAGGAGGCATAAAAATCTTACTTTCACACAAGAGGTGGATATGAATACTGCTTTCAAAGAGGAAATATCTTATGATATATGTTATAATATCTTTAGCTACTTACTTGACAGTTTGATGTTTCCTTATTGTGTGCATTTTTCTCCATACACAAATATATATGCATTGTGAAATACAAAGATATGATTTTTATGTGTGTATCACTTATATATATATATTTTTTTCTTCTTTTTCTTCTTCTTCCTCTTCTTCTTCTTCTTTTCTTCTTTTTCTTTTTTCTTTTTTCTTGTTTTTTTTTTTTTTTTTCTTTCTATCTTTTTCTTTATTAGTTGGAGTTTGTACAGCACAGTATGGAGTTCATTGTAATGGAGGCAAATAAGTTTGCGCAGGAACTGTGCATGGCATTCGATTTTAACTTGCTTGACCTGCATTACTATATGCGATTTCAACTTCAAAGGTAAGTTTGTGTTTTGGAACCATTATTCATTAATCAGTATCTTTTCCATGTAAGGGAATGTAACTCAAGTCACTTTTTTTGTACATGGTTGGCTTGTTATACATAAATATAACTAGATAAATGCATTATATTCATTCTATTAGTGATTTATATCTGGATTGAGCTTTGTACACTATTTATATGATATGTGTGTGTGTGTGTGTGTGTGTGTGTGTGTGTGTGTGTGTGTGTGTGTGTGTGTGTGTGTGTGTGTGTGTGTGTGTGTGTGTGCGTGTGTGTGTGTGTGTGTGTGTGTGTGTGTGTGTGTGTGGGCGTGCGCACGCACGAGCACACATGAATATTTATGTATATAATGATGAAATGCCAACTTGACAAATGATATATAATGAGAATCAAAATTATTTCCTCTTTTACAATCATCTTGTTTATTGTAGCCACTATTTCACAGGCGGACAAAGGATGGCCTCCACTGGGAACCTCCAGCTGTGAGGATGATGACCAATTTCATCCTTTCACACATAGGTGCCTAACTATGTAGTTTTTACATACAACTTGTATAGGAATTTTTTTTTAAATCATATTTGATATATAAATTCCATCTATTTTTAATATTCAGTGTCATATTCTAATCTGCTGTTGATGGCAGATGACTGTAAATAATTTTTAAATTTTCTTTATTTTTTTATGGCTTTAACCTTTTACGGTTACACTGCAAGCACATGCTCTTAAGACTTATTGATTTATTGGTAAGTCTTATGCAAGTAGCTTGTATGGTTTGGTCATTTATTAGTTTTCTTATGTTCACACAGCATTGAGTTTTGGTGAAACCCTTCCTGGTAATACCAAAGATGTTCTTTTGAAAGAAGCAATATGCCTAGCTGAAGAGGCAAAATCTTCTTTAGGAGACAAGGTTAGTTGCTGAGATTTTTCCCAGTTCTAACCAGACTGCTGCCTCATACATTAACCCAGTCCTCATGGATTTATGTACTGTCCCCTGTATTTTATTGTGAATTTTGTTACATACAGATGGCTCCACAGCAAGGAGTCTATCACAGCCATACTGTTATTATTCTTACTGATATTATGATTATGTAGTTGTTATTAAAATTTTGGTACCATTAAAGAAAATGAAATAATAACAAAGAAACTATCCAAAAATCAAGGGAAAGGGTAAACAGGTTAGATAGGTAGGACTAATATCTGACTCCTCGATGACTAAGCACTTCTAGAGCCATCTATGTGTAAATACAATAAATGAACTTATATTACAGTGGTCATGGCATGTATTCTTGCCATCTGTGCTGATTGGGTTAATATTATCAACATGTAACTAGGACATACACCAACTGAAGGCTTTTATGGAATAAGCCTCTATTGGTTCTTTATCAGCTTTCTGGTGTCTCATTCTTTGCTATTTCTGAAACTTTTACTTATGCAATAGTTGAGTGGTATTGTAGAAATAGAATTATAGACTAATTGATTGAAGTTAGGTATATACAAATAAATAAAAGCTGAGTATACTGTTCTATTCCCCAACATGAAAGACACAATGTTCTAGTATATCCTCACAAATGCACATGTGATTTGTTTTGTTGGTGATCTGCATTTCTTAAGATTTTTTTTTTTCATCTTTTTTTTTCTGAATTTTATTTGATATAATTTTTGTGCACCAAGCATTAGCCAATCTTCAAAACTGGACATCCAACAGTGTAATGCAAATGTTTTTTACAGCATGGAGATGTTTTATCATTACTATGATTATTATTATTATTATTATTATTGTTATTATTATTGTTATTATTATTGTTATAATTATTATTGTTATTATTATTGTTAGTGTTGTATTATTATTATTGTTATTGTTATTATCATCATCATTGCCATTATTATTATCATTATTATTATTATTATTATCGTTGTTATTATTATTGTTGTTGTTATTATTATTAAGATTATTAATATCATCATCATCATCATTATTGCTGTTATCGTTATTGTCTTAGTTATTAGTTATTTAGCTATTACTCTTATAATTGTTATCATCATCATCAATATCATTTTCATTATTCTTCTCTTTTTCTTACTGGGTAATTGCAGTATATACTGTAGTTTTGTTATGTGAGTCAATTAATCGGATAATGCTGGGGTGGCATGTACGTACGTGCTATGCCGACTGTGAGTTTAGTTTATTAATTATCTTGGCACATAGATGGCTTCAGAAGTACCAAGTCATAAAGAGCCATTTACGAGTACTACCTATTTCCCATGTTTACCCTGAATTTGATTTTTGGTAATATTTTCTGGTATCTTATATTCCTGTTAGTAATGTCAATAACATGATAATTATAATGTCTATGATTACAATAACAGCATCGAAATTGATAGTATCAGTAAAAATAAAGGTGAAATCAAGTGAGGTCACAAGGTCTACTAATATACTCTTTTGTATTTCTGGGCCA